GCCATGGAACACATGGCAACATAGAGATTAACAGAAATGGACTGAGTTTAAGTGTAAGAGCTAGTCAGTAGTAAGCCTGAGCTAATGGCCAAGCAGTTTTAATATAAGCTTCTGTGTGTTTACTTGAGTCTGAGTGGCTACAGACCAGAAGGGACACAGGAAAAACTTCCAGCTACACTCTTAACTCCACACCTCCTCCAGAGAGGCGCTAGCTCTTACAGGTTCTGCAAACTTCCACACCTGGGCACCAGCTAGGGACCACATGTTCAGACACCTGAACCTCTGGGAGACATTTCATATTCAAACCATAAAAGGTAGAGATGCCAGTGTCTGCATGTTTTTAAACATGTAGAGAGAGAAGGAAAGGGAAGTTGGAATGTATCACTTGATGTTCCAAAGATGAACACCAAACAATAAAAATTAGTGACATTACCGAGCTGAGCAGAAAGAGAAAGGGGAGTTAGCAGTGAGCCAAATTATGCTAGAAGAGGGTTTAAATGAATAAATCAATAAGCAACTGCACATTTTTGAGCACTTTGAACAACTGTTATTTGGGAGGAGTGCTAAAATAAAACTGGATGAGATCAACTTTCTATCATAAGATTTCCTTTCCAGGGTTACTAATGTATGCTGCCAATGCAGGTTTTTTTGTGTGGGTGTTGAGGTCCAAACTCAGGACCTAATGCCCGCGCAGTAGGCACTTCACCAATGGAAACATCTCCTCACTACTCTTTCAAACGTTTTCATTAAAAAGATAAATGTGCCCAGCCATCTGAAATCCTATTATTGTCATTCCACAAGTTGAGATGTGTGGGGATAGGGGCCTCACCACAGCCCGGGCTGGCTGAGAATCAAGAAGAGAGGTAACGACCACGCGTCTCCATTCTAAAGTGCCAAGGAACTCTTTCCCAGAGTGCTGTGAGGATCAAACAGCAACAGACAAAGAAACGGTCAGAATGTGTCAGCTGGCGCAGCCAGTGGAGGCCCCCACGGGAGTTCGTGATCAGGCGGGTCAGGGGACTGAGGGCTGAGACGTGACAGGAGACCCTGGTGAGGTGACTCACCCTCCCCAAGCTGCACCTTCCTGTCTACAAAATGGGGCGCTGCTCCTCCACACCTGCCCATCCAGCTCTTCCTCCAGGTCCCTCTGTCTGGTGGCATCTGCTATTTCTCTGTGAGTCACAACGCCCCTGCTTATAAGGCTGCTCCTGTTCTTGGTGGGCATGAAAACAAATTGGGTTGAACAGGTTATTTCATGACGCCAGCCTTGAGGCTGAGAATGCTACACTTGCCTTTGTGTCTGCCCAGGTAACAAATTCACAAGCCACCTGAGAGGAGCCTGCTGCGACAGGCCTGTGGCCTCTCTCTGCAGACTAGAATACTAACTAGTGCGAACCAAGCACGTCGGCACAGCTCACCCATGGACTGCACTGCCTGTGGCAACACCCTGACACAGAGCACAGGCTTTCTCTCAGTAAGAAACCTCTTATTTCAGACTATCTTAAAACCATCATAAATATTAATCCTATTTCAGGAAAAATGGTTTAAACTGACAAACTCATTCAAAGATGAATCCCAACTGGTGATATTAATCCAAATTATCTCATGACTTGAAAAACAGAGACACCAAGCAACTATTATTTCATTCCAATTAAGTTAAAACAAAATCCTGCAACTTTCAAGGAGATGTAACAGGCTCTCTTGTTGCCATGGCAATGTCTATGCTTGGCCACACTTCCTAGTGGCAGAAATGCCAGATACAATCAACCTGTGTGAGAGACAAGAGAGAGGCGGAGCGTCTGGGACGTCACTGTCAGGGAGCTCCAGTCAGAAGACAGCATGGCAAGTTCCCCTTACGATGCAGCAATACTGACCAGGCAGCAGAGGGGAGCCAGTTCACACAGGTGGACAGCGTTACGCCCACTCACACATGCTGGCTAGCTTGACCCCTCTCTTGCATCTCACAATTACACATGAACACTTGAAACACGGCAAACGAAGAACAGGAGAGTCACATGAGCTGTCTGGATTATGAGCTACCAAACCAAACCATGGGACTGAACTTTCCCCAGGCAATCACAATGCCTTCTTCCCTTGAAGTGACGTTCTGAAGCAGGATATAGAATCTTTGCGATAGAGTACAGATCCTGCTGGGAATCTGGCATCGTGACATGTATAAAAATAGAGCACGATGTAAGACATGAGAGGGGCAGTAATTTCATTCACACAGCTCATTCAGAGTTTCTCTTCACCTTTTGGTGAACTGCGTTTCTGGGGTGTGATGCTCACGGCGTTCCATGGCATCCCGGCAAGGCCTTTAGAAAGGATGTCCCCACAGTGCTGCCTGAGGTACTACGTCAGACAAGACCTACAAGACCATCGCAACTGCTCCCGCATGACAGGAGTAGCAGAATCCCAGAACCCAGGGAGGCCACAGCCTCTCCATCAACCTGCCTGCAGGATGACCACACCGGTGTCACCTGGGAATGTGTTCAAATGTGACCCCCCAAGCTGCACTGCGGTGTCAGGAGTTGTCCCCCGATGCCACGTGGTCCACGGGAATATGTAAAAATCAATGACCTAGGGTTGGGAAGTAGCTGGTACCGGGTTCCCTTGACATCCACGGAGCCCTGAGTTTATCCCTAGCATTGTATAAAATCAGGTGGGGTGGCACTCATCTATAAAACCAGAACTTGGAAGGCATGGGAGGTAGAGGCAGGAGGAGGAGGTTCAAGGCCAGCCTGGGATACCTAAGACCCCATCTCAAAAAAGAATGTAAGAAAGGAATGAATATTCGGTAACAGAGACGGAGCAGGGAGCCCACAAACTAAGAGACTGGGCACACACGCACACACCTGTTGGTTGGCACGGTAACTGCTCTGGCTGGCTCAGATCCACCAACCACAAAGCACAAGAAGTCATTTGAAACTCGGCCTGTTTGAAAACGGCAACCCCCCTGTCTCTGAAAGCTGTTCACACTGTTTATCAGGACCTGGGACAATGACGCCCAGCAGAACCAAGTTTCTGAGGAGCACAGAGGGAGGAGGAACACGGCTTCATTCTGGTTAGACTCAAGGCCCGGCCAACACTCGGAATGATCTACAGGCTCACCTGACCTGGCCTCCAGGGGCCAGCCATCCCATCAAGACCTACAGGGACGATCTTGAGCCTTGGCCCAGTTGCTTAAATCCCTTTGCCAGGTCAGGCGACAGCTGAGATTATGTCCTGTCTCCTTGGCAGTTGGCCTCCAACAAATCCCACCCCCTTTATCTTTTCAAAGACCTGGTACTGTAACATGAGGTTCTATGCCCATGGGGTAGCAGCTTTTGCTGAGGATCAATTTGACCTAACAAGTGTGGGTTTTATAGTTAGGGCGGATCCCTAAATCTGAATCCCAGCACCCATGGCTACGGAACCAAGGCAAGTGAAGCACTGAATCCTGCCAACTTCCGCATCTGTAGTTAACTGTCACCGAGGCAGACCAGGACACCGCCACAGTACCTGGTCTTCCACTCTCGCCAGCCCTTCGGCACAGCAGGAGGATGCTATGGCCTGCCAACAGGGTTGGTACAGGCTAAGTGGGATCCACTGTCACGGGAACATGCACCTGTCACTCTGGGGTGGAGCTTCAGGACTCACAGAGTGCCCGTGGTACTGAGGTTCCCCCCTGCCACAGCCATGGCACCTGCTCTACAAGTGCTCTCCCTGGCCAGGTCCCGGCATAGGGAGGGCCTGGCACCAGCAACGCCCAGCCTCTCCAGAGTCTCCTTTGATACTCTAAGTTAAGCTGTACTGGAATGAAACACAGCCATCTTTAATTTCTCGTGTGTGTCACCCTTGAAGTCCCCTTCCGGTCTGCGGCACATGTCTGTCTAGACTTTGGTTTGGAAGCTTCTATCCGAAGGAGTCGAAGCTGTGCAGAGCATACTGACTGTTTTGAGTTAAGAACACCCTTAAACAGCTCCCTCTGTGTTTTCTCCCGTTTCTTGACGCGCAGAGGAGGTCTCAGGGAAAAGAGGCCCTCCCTACGCTAGAAGGAAGCAGCGTTCTTTATCAAGGACAGGATGTTGGGTCGGGATTCTGTGCAAACCTCATGTAGATACGTTGAACTCTCCCCCTGACGGGGCTGCTTGGCCACCCTCCCTATCTCTGTTCCAATGGGTACATACAAGCATCTACCTGCTTCTTTGCGTCTTCCCATGCCACCTGACATTTCATGATTCATGAGCATGTTTTTCTTTGTTAATCTGTTTTGTGTCAATATCCTTCTCAGGCCAACCCAGAAGAAAACCCTAGAAGGGAAGAGGTGAAATTCTGCTTCTCCCAGATGCCAATTACTGTGGCTTGTAAATTTCAACCTCTTCTCATTGTGCAATATTTAGAATGTTAATCCAGCTTGTGTAAAATCTGCCGGCTTTTATGCAGTTTCATATTAACTGATCCAAAGCTCTCCTACTTTCAAACTGATTCTTCAGTTTCAATCAGTGAGTTCTTAAAATAATTTAGTCTCTTTCATTTTAGTAACTTTGAACACCTGTGTGACTTATGTCGTTTATAATGGTATAAACCACACAGGAGAATCCTGAGAACTTACTTGTTAGTGGTGTGTGGACGTAACTCCCACGGGTACTGAGTGGCCATCTTCAAGAACACCCTGATGCCTGCTCACTTTTTAAGTCTCAGGTGCACACTGGGATGAGCAGCCAGCAGCTGGCTGCTCATAAACTCCCACACTGCCACATCTGTCTTTCACCAGAGCCCAAACCATGAGAAGCACAATGCCAAGCAGCCACCCAAGCCCACGGACCCTTGCACACCATGCCAGTGGGCCAGAATGTAAGTGAACAGTTCCCGAAGCAGAAACAAGGGCGCTAAGGCTGGACTTGGGACAACATCAAACACAGGGCAGTAACTCCTCTAGGCCACCAAGTAGTGACTTGCAAAGTAAGGTATCTGATGACAGTGTTCTGGTGACGTCTGTCAGTGTGGAGGGGACTCACGGAGAGAAGAGGTGCTGGACGAGCTCCGCAGAAAGTGGTGGAGGCCGTCCTCGCCGTCACTGGAGCTGGTGATGCTGTTCCTCATCTCCAGCATGGTGATCTGTGTGCACAGGCTCATCTGCGGCTCCAGCTTCTTCACTTTCTGCAAAGCAGAGTTAGCAGACGCCTGAGGTTTACAGCGGTGACTCAGACATCCCTGCACGGGGATCTAAGTTAGTGCTAAAACGAAAAGGTAGTAAGTGCTCTGGAAATGTCTGCTGTGTTATTACTAGCTGTCCCTTTAAATACATGATTCTAAAGTTATGAATAGGAATACTCAGTAATCTGAAATAGTAAGCACAACTGTTTCTCTTTTGCGGTGCTGAGGCTCAAACCCAAGGCCTCGTGCGTAGCAGGCGAGCCCTCTCTGGCTGTGCCTCAGCCCCAGGCCTGACTTACAGTGGGAAGCACCTGGACAGGGAACCTAAGAGGAACACCATATCCAGTGTTCCCGGCAGGCAGTCCGGGTCACAGGAGAATGTTTTAAAAGTTCTCATCTGCAATTGTTTTAACTTCCTTCTAAACAAATGCAGAAAACTGTGCTGCCTAGAGCTCTGGAAGTCCGTCTTCTCTGGTCTCCGGATTCCTGGGAGACGCAGAGGGCACCAAGGCCAAATGCCAGCTCTTAGTCTTACTTCTTGGAGTCCTGCCTTGTCACGCCTTCTCCATGCCCTCTCCCTCCCATCCTCCTTCATCCGCACAGAAGACTTCTGGGAAGGACAGTACTCCATCCCATAAATGTGCTCCTTAACAGTCAGGCCAAGCTCCAGCAATGGCAATAATTATAACATACTTCCTTGCCTTCAAGAAAGGACTTGCTAAAGAGTCTCTCTATTACAAATATCCCCTCTGAAGTTTTGAATACTTAATGAAAATTTAGGAAAACACACATATCTATTTAACCAAAAGGATCAGAAAGACACTTACTTTATCATTTAAGGTAGGATCATTCAGTGAGTAGAGTTTATTTGTTATGTCTTTTCCTATAAGATATCTAAAAATTTCGTACAGAAAAGGCTCTGACTCCAGAAAGTAAGTCAGTCTTTCTCTTGACCAGCATAAAAACCTGCAGTTATCATCTGCAACAATGGTGACCTGTGGGAGAAGCAGACACAGTCATAGATATACTTATCAAATTAGTTATAACCTAACACACTGTATAGAATTATGTTTAAAGACACAAAATCAGTAGACTAAACCCAGGCAACTTCTCTGAGTTTTACTGCTTTGGTTTCTGTGGTCTCTGCACAAAAGAATGACCACCGTGTCAATACTGCTGTGGATGTTGCCAGGGGAAATACTAATTATGGTAAAATATGTCTTTACCCATTGCTGTTTACAATGAAGTTTAAAGATAGACCTTCATGCAAGTGAACTCAGGAGAGAAAGAGAGCGTGTGTGAATGCATGTGTGTCTGGCTCCGGGACTCAAACCCGTAACCATTCGACACTGAGCTGCCTGTCATTGAGCTACACCACCAGCACCTAAGATTAGACCTGGAAAGCAAATTTCCTAGGAAAACCTTTTACCCAGATGACTCAGAAATACATATACACCGAGAAAGATTCAAAGGCTCAGGCTGATGAGAACGGCTGGTGAGCGACCTTCTGCCGTGGGTTTCGAGGCTGGCTCCAAGGTAGCCTACTGAGCCAGGTGCTCAAACTAGGCCAGAGCTGAGAAACCATACCCTCCCGTGGAAGCAGTGCAACATGGGAAATCAGGGGTGCTCACTGTCACGGTGCTAGAGCTCAAGCGACCCTCCCTTCCCCTTCTCCGTGCTCAGGGGCGCTCACTGTCACGGCGCTAGAGCTCCAGCGACCCTCCCATCCCCTTCTCCGTGCTATCAGGGCTCAGGATCCCCTCCTACCGGGCAACTGCTCTTCAGCACTCAGAATGCTGTCACTTCCCTCATGATGACACTCATATCCCAAAGGCCCAACTCCTCCCCGACACACACGTGCGGACTCCTGAGCACACTAACGGAAGAGACCAGGTGTCTTCAGGTCCGATGCCTGGCTTCATCACAGAGTGGCGGTCTACCCACACTCACAAGAAGTAGTTGGCAGAAGCAGACACCGGCGTCACTAAAGTCCATTTTACATCCTCAGCACTAGACCAGTGCTTGTCCCCGCTGGAGACTGGTAAAAGCTAACTAAACTGACATGAAGTCTTATCTGGGCCTCAGAACAAATAGTTCCAAAGAGCTTTCTTTTCAGAAGTCAAGGGAGGATTTACGTCTACCAAGAGTAAAAAAAAAAAAGAAAGAAAGAAAGAAAAACCCCAGCTTCCTGGTTCCCTTATACCAACAGGCTGAAGCTGGCACTTTGGAAAATTAGATTAATTAGTTACTTCCAAAAGTGGGCCAATGCTCCCAGAAAAATAAAGTTTGCATTTATTACATCAGAAGAGGCTTCGTGAAAACCAAGAACATCTGGAATTAAGAAATGCAGATTTTGGCTGGGCGGTGGTGGCGCACGCCTTTAATCCCAGCACTTGGGAGGCAGAGGCAGGCGGATCTCTGTGAGTTCGAGGCCAGCCTGGGCTACCAAGTGAGTTCCAGGAAGCCAGGGCTACACAAGAGAAACCCTGTCTCAAAAAACCAAAAAAAAAAAAAAAAAAGGAATGCAGATTTTGAGTCCACAAAACACCAAGTGACACTCTTCCTCGGTGTACACTATGACGAACGCACTTCCTGCCAAACACCACCCAAGACACTGAAGGTACGACCGCCAATAAGAAAGACAAGATCCAGGGCTGAAGAGATGGCTTAACGGTTAAGAAAGCCCACTGCGCTTTGAAAGGACCTGGGTTCAGTTCCCATGACCCACATCTGTGACTTCAGTTTTGGGATGTGTGATGCCCTCCTGACCGCCAGGGGTCCTCACATTGTGCGTGTGCCCCACAGACACAGCCATACCTGCATACAAAACCTTTTAAAAAGACAAGATCCAAGAGGGGCCAGGCATGGTGTCCTGTGCCTGGAATCCTAGCACTCAAGCAGCTAAAGCATGTTAGCAAGTCTGGAGCCAGCCTGGGCTACACAGTGAGTGCCAGGCCAGGCTGAGATCCACAGTAAGACGCTATCTAAGAAAAGGAGGTGGGGGAGGCGGGGGAAGGAGGGGGAGGTGGGGAAGGGGTCAGTGGTGGGACTGCTTGCCTTGTAAGCATAAACACAGAGTTCAAATCCCAACGTCCACATAAAAAGCTGGGTGTGGCCCCAGAGGCTGGTAATCCCAGCACTATGGAGGGCAGGAACAGGGGGATCATTGGGGCTTGTTGGCCACCAGGCTAGCTCCAGGTTAAGTGGGAGATCCTGTCCTCCAGGAACAAGGCAGAATGGCAGAGAAGTGCACACATACACAGAGAGACGCACACCTGCACACATGATCCTTATTTTAAGAATATGGCTGTCTTGCCTGTATGTATGTCTGTGCACCACGGTGCCTGGTGCCGTGGAAGCCAGAAGAGGGTGTCAGATCTCTGGAACTTGAGCTACAGACCACCGTGAGCTGCCACGTGGGTCCTAGAACTTGCTTTTAACCTCAGCGCCATCTCTCCAGCCCGAAGGTGCTGCTTTCTTTAAATACCGGTTAAAATTTAATGCTCATTTATTTCACAAGAGCAGGGACACGCATTTCTAAGACCTCTCCCTCAGACTGACTTTCAGGTTTCACAGCACCATGCCATGGGACTGACCGTGGGAAAGCAGTAGCCCGAGATGGAATCAAAAGAAAAATGTTTATCAGAAATGCTCACTCAGTGAAGAGAAACCCAAACACGAAAGACGACCGCTACTTTTGTTATAGTGATACCGAAGACCCTGTCAACGGCTGTTAAGTGACAGCCTGATCTGCAAGTCCCACAACAGGCACTAAGGATGGCGGGCTTCGGGACGACTCTGGCATCATCAGTCTGCCTGAAGCACTTGAATTACGACAGTGTTTACCAAGTGATGATCTAGGCTGCCTTGTCGGTCTTCTCTTTTCTACTACCGTTCAATCAGCACCTGACCACAGAACGAATCTACAGAAACAACGGTCTGAGTGGTGGTACACGCCTAGAATACCAGCACTTGCAACGCTGAGGCAAGAGGACTGTCACTGGCTGGAGGCCAACCTGGACCACACAGTGAGCTCAAGGCCAGCTTGGGCTGCACAGTAAGATGCTGTGTCAACAAACAAACAAAAAATAAGAAGGGTTGAGGGTGTAGCTCTGTGGTAGAGTACTTGCCTAACATGCAAGAAGCCTGGGTTTGAGATCCAACACTGCATAATCCCAAGAGGTAGAGGCAGGAAGATCCAAAGTCCATGGAGATCCTTGGCTACACAGAGAGTTCAAGGCCAGTCTGGGCTCCATGAAACCCAGACTCAAACAAACAAGGTAATCCAATGGACATAAGTCCGTAACAGAATGCCTCCCAGGGAAGGATGTGAATGTGCTTCAGAAAGAGGCCATATGCACGGCCCTGATGTGCAGCTACAAGAACACACAGAAACAACTACTTTTCACTGAGTATCTGCCAACAGAAATGCTTCGTAAACAGTCAAAGCACAATCTCCCCGGGTTTATTCCGATGAAGTTGGCTCTGTGGTTGGCACAGACTCAATGGCTGTGTCGTTCTTGTCCACTAGCAATCGCAAAATACCACGAACTCACAAAATACCATACCCTGTGCCAAAGAAAGCTGGCTGGAGTGATCAAGGATGAATCCACAGCCTTCATGCAGCTAGGGTACTGAAGCTTTCCTCATGTTCTTGGAATCTTCGCATCAGTTAGGAACAATTCTAAACTACTAAAACTCAGTCCCCAAGAAGAAGGAAACCTGTTGCCAGTGGTAGCAACTTTTTTGTTAGCTTAATTACAAATGTAACTTAGAGTCCAGTGGAAAGTGAGTACATACTTATACACCCTTTCCTTGGGGATGACTCCTTCTGGAACAAAGGTTTAGTTTCCACCCCAAACTGACTCTTCTCTTCAGGATTATAAAGAGACTGAGGTGTTACATAAAACCACCTGCTCCCACACAGAAGAAAGAGTGTAACAGACCGCGGTGGACGAAGCAACTCTAAGGGGGTCAGAAGAAAGAGGAGACAGACCTGGTCCTGTTCTGGCTCACGGATGACACCCTGGGGCACAGACGACCCCCCACAGTACCAAGGTCCGAACAGCTGGACACACACCAGCTTTCTTTTCCTATATGTCAAACATGACCAGCACAGAACAGAACTGCATCATCAGTGTCTTAAGTCAGTGTTCTATTGCCATGCCCAAGACAACTCTTCTACTAGAGAGCACTTAACTGGGGGCTTGTTTAGTTTCAGTGGCTTAGTCCATTATCATCATGGCAGGACTGGAGCAGCAGCCGAGAGCTGTACACCCTGATCCACAAGCAGCAGGCAGAGAGAGAGAGAGACTCTGGGCCCGGCCTGGGCTTCTGAGAGCTCAAACCCACCCCTAGTGACACACCTCCTCCAACAAGCCACACTTCCCAATCCTTCCCAAACAGTTCCCCTAAGTGGGGGCCAAGCATTCAAACACATGCACCTACGGGGGCCATTCTCATTGAATCCCCAGTCAGTGAGCTTAAACAAGTACTTCCGGCAAGTGTGCCCAACTTTAACAAATTCCAGTTACCCAGGCCTTTTATGCGAGCAGAGCGGCAGCCAGACAGGGCTGACATGCTAATGAGGTAAAGGGAACTGCACTTTCCCTTCATGTCCGGCCTGTGGCAGCTGAGTTGAAGGGCATCCCAAACCCAGCCCAGAAGAGTCTGCAGCAAGGGACGGTGGCAGGTCCTCTTTCTTCGGTGACGACACCCTCTTCAGTGCTATTTCTCACTCGATATGCACTGCACCAAAGCAACCCTGTGCCAGAGTATCTCCCCACTGCTATTCACCCAGAGACTTGTGTTCTTGGCTGCGCTCCTAAGAACAGCAAATACAACAGACGGCCTGGGGACTTGGGAACAACCCGGACAGCTGCGATACAATGGAGAAGAACTAAGCTGAGTAGTCAGTATCTGAACTGCTGATCCCGTGAGGAATTTCCTCTTTGAATGAAATGGTTGGAGGGGTGTTTTTCAGCAGTTCTCAGGAGGGAAGCCAGTTTTCTGTTTTTCCTAAGAGAGTTAATCAATGGTGTGTTTGGGAGCATGAATTATCTACCAATGACACGATCATTCTCACAATAAAGCTGACTTTTTTTAAAAAGACTGCCTGTATTGTTATATTATGTGAATTCACGAATGCCAGAAGGGGGCATGGACCCTCAGGGACTGGAGTCACCGATGACTGTGAGCTGCTGTGGGTGCTGGGAACCAACCCAGGCCTCTTGAAGAACAGCCGCGCTCTGACCTCAACCCCAAAGAGTAAGTTTTTAATGGAAATATTAAGAAATTTAAGTGACCAAACAGTTTCGAAAAATGAAACAGCAAGCAAATTCACACCCTAGAAATAATGGTGTTAGTGTCACGGCTAGGTCAGGACCCGGCTTTCCAGATGTCCACCTCCAGCTGTGCACGCACAAGCACTGTCCACCTCCAGCTGTACGTGCACGAGCACTGTCCACCTCCAGTTGTGGGCACACAAGCACTGTCCACCTCCAACTGTGGGCACACAAGCACTGTCCACCTCCAGCTGTGGGCGCACAAGCACTGTCCACCTCCAGCTGTGCTTACACAAGCACTGTCCCACCTCCAGTTGTGGGCACACAAGCACTGTCCCACCTCCAGTTGTGCTCACACAAGCACTGTCTCACCTCCAGGTGTGCACGCACAAGCACTGTCCACCTCTAGTTGTGCTCACACAAGCACTGTCCCACCTCCAGTTGTGCTCACACAAGCACTGTCTCACCTCCAGCTGTGCACACGAGCACTGCCCACCTCCAGCTGTGTGCACGAGCACTGTTGAAAGGTAGCTGTTGTCGTTGTTTTGTTTTATTGAATTATACTGTGTGCACTAACGTGGCTATCTCCTGAAATCGTGGTCACTTTTCCATTTCACTGGATTTGAATGAGATACAAAATAGTTTTAACTTTCAAAACCAAATCCTACCTGGAACTTCTCCCCTTTGTGCATCTGGGTTGATCTGAATTCTGGGGAATCGATAAAGGCACAGGGGTAGATGTTATGCAGAAAATGTCCTCGATAGGAGACCTTCATCCTGTTAACACAAGTCAAAATGTTAACAGACATACAGCGCTTCACAAAAGCAAAATCATTCTTTTTATCACCGACACAGTACAGTAGTGCATCCACACTATTTTAAATATTCTACAAGTAACGGACACAACTTGAAGCACTTCCAGAGGCACAAATATATTTAAAAATGACATGGGAAAAGCAACAGCGCACATTGTCAGTGCAGACCACGCTACCATGACTGTCACTCATGCGGTGGGAACGAACATGTAATTTCCACATTACAGACTTTCGAGGGGGAGGGAGCCTGTTAATACCCACGTTTCCAGGCAGCCACAGTGACACAGATCCACAGATCCAGTTACTTAGGAGGCTGAAGCTACAGAGTCACATGAGCCCAGGAGTCCAAGCCCTCATCTAAAACCACCACCGAATGAGCACAGTAACAATTATACCCATGCAGCATTGGCGACTCTCCATTCAGATCCTCCATACAGACTGTGAGGCTCAAAAAACACACCACCTCTGCCACAGGCATACGCTTCTTGAATTTAATTTGAACCTACTTCAACTCTGACTCATGAACTTCAAGCAAAAGTAAACATGGTGAACAAAGCATCCACTGTAGAAAATTTTGGTATCAATAGGATCCAGGACCACGGTGTCTACCTCGCTTTGGCACACTGTTCCACAGCAGCCCAGACTTCGGTTGCAAAATGACCTTCACCAACACACAGCCACCGCTTCCTCCATTGGCTGGCAACATCTCTGTGTCGCATTCCTAGAGGCTATAAAGGATGGAAGGCAACCTGGGGGTTCCTATTTCCATGTGACACTCACCTACCCTTCAGGAGAATACTAAGACGATCATCAACTGAGGTTTTATCCTCTGTGGCGTACGTCTGGCCCTTTTTCAAGGTCTGGATCATACAAAACTGTCCAGTTAACCTTCTGAACAAGTCAGGAGGGACACGGAGTGGCTCAAACAGTCGGTGGTAGACACCACCCAGCTCCTTTTCGATCTTGACCTGAAAGACAGTGATGCCGAGGTCCTGGACTCTTGAGGGTGGGATACAGACATAAGAATAAACAAATCTATGGCACACACTGGTGGTTTGCTGTACGTGGTCAGTGGGGTCTTAGAGAGTTAGTAGTGGTGTAATTTATACTCTACTGGGGAAGGCTGAGAGGACTCTAATGGTCACACCTTTCTACTGATCCTGAAGCAACATCTGAGTTTTTGGATTTTGTCAAAACACATACCTTCTTAACCTTAGCAGCAGTCCATAACATGTTCGTTTCAAAAGAAGAAATTACCTTAACTTTTAATTATGATAGTGAGAATGGAAAAACAAATTCACAAAATAATGCATTAAGCATTTTATCTCCATGTAATTAATGCATCGAGGCAGGAAAGCCAACACTCATGGCTGCAATCACTACCTCCTATTTACATACTCCCAAGCAAAGGAAGAAAGAAGGGCAGAGCCCTGGCATGGTGGTCTCATCCCAGCCTAAGCTTCGTAGCACTGAGATCCCTCTGACGAGCAAGGCTGGCTACGGACAGCAGGGCAGTGACTGTCGTAATCACCTTCTCAGAGTCTCTCAGGCGCAGGGCATGCAGCGTCTGGAAGGCACCGTAATTGGGTGCATGGAAAATGGTACTGCACTGTGAATGAACTCTGTCTCAGTGAAAGCTCAATGAAACACAATGAAACCCGCAGAGCCCGAGCACAAAGCTGCTTCTACCTGATGTCACTCTGGTCTGTCCCCATTTCATTCTGATGAAGAATCATCTTTATTTATTTAAGTGATAAAGAAAAAAAAACAAACCAAGCAAAACAAGAGCCCTAGATGAGAGATGTTCTTTCTGGTGGTGCTTCAATCACGCCAGTGACTCAGGGACTGTGAACTTGGGTTTCCAGAAAAGGCTCTAATATCTGAGAACTGTCATCCTCATTATTACAGTTCCTACCTCCTCTACGCCACAGCGCTAGCAGTGAGCATCCAGCATGATTTCCTCACAAATCTGTCCCATCCAGCCCACACAATATCTGCTGTGACAGAGTGATGAACACAGGACCTGTCACAGTCTAGTCACACACATCCATGTCCCGTCTTTCCTCTACACCTCAGCTCAAGACTCAGTTTCTTCGTGAGGTTGTCTGAATTCTCTTCTTTGGAAGCATCTGTTTGTCAAAAGTTTCTCCGAGCATCTTCAGTGTACACAGGGCTACAACAGCTAGTGTGTTCCATTACACTATTGCCTCCAATTGTCTGCTGTCCTGTAAGAGAATTACTAACTCCAACATCAGATGGCTCGGCCATGCCACTGGCTTTGGCCAATGAAATAGTAAGCAGAAGAGACAGTTTTGTGTTTTTTTTTGTTTTGTTTTGTTTTTTGTTTTTTACAGAAATGGCTTTATTACAGAAATTTCTGTGAACCCAGCTGCTTTTGTTTTATCTTTAATTTTGTCTGGGTATTTGGTCTGCAATATGTGCAATCAGTGCCCGTAGAAACTAGAAGAGGGCATTAGGTCCCTTGGAATTGAGTTATAGATGGTTGTGAGCCACCACGCGGGTGCTGGGAACTAAACCCAGGTCCTCTGCAAGAGCATCCAGTGCTCTTAGCCACACACCACTTCCAGACCCTTGAGCAGATGGATGTTTTCTAACTTTTGTATGGTCCCCTCTGCCATAAGAATGCACAGTCCCAAAAGAACTTGCTGCTTTAGCAGAGACCCGGAAACATAAGATAGATTCAGTGATGCCAGTCAACAGGTGAGGTGGGTGAGAAGAAAAGGCCACTGCTGTTCTGCATCACTGAGATCTCATTCATCACAGCCTAACCCAGAAAAACAACAACTGACCAATACAGACAAGCAGCCCAAACTGAGCGGCTGTGTGTGAGGAGGTTATGGAGTAGTGGAGCACCCACATGTATAACATCTGTATTTCTGTGTGGAATGTCCTATTTTCTAATAGTTTTCTACATTAAAATCAGAGCTAAGATGAGCATTACAGCCTTGGGACAGTCAGTGACCACATATGGAGTGATTTCTGTGAACCCAGCTGCTCTCTACCTTGTTTTTTTATGTTCTTGGAGGTTATGTTTGGTGGTTGTTGTTTTGTTTTTAAGATGGAACCTCACTCACAGCTCCAAGCTAACTTCAAACTCACTATGTAGAGCAGGCTAGCCTTGAACTGTCACTA